GAACAAAAAAAAAAAGAAAATTGAAAATGATAAGAAAATCTATAAATTTTTATTAAAACAATGCAAAAGTACATGAGATAGATTTTCACTATTCTCATTCATGTTTTATTACTTATGGCTGAAACTTTGGGAATACATAGAGTGACAATCGATTTATCTATAATATAAATATGAAACAAAATGACAATAGTATAAGGAATTAATAAAAAAAAATAAGATGTTCCATTTATTTTGCGCAGAGAAACTACTTCTACCTAATTGTGTAAAAATGACATGTGACCGCAAAGTCATGATTAATTATGATAGACATAGAATGTATTCGTGACTATAAACATATGTATCAATAGAATATTATCATCTATTATAAAGATTAGTTTGATTATCAAAATATTTATCAACTGAAATGCTTAAGTTGTAGAACAAATGACTCGATTTTATCAGGCATCTCAAAATTTTATTAATTAAATCATCTATATTACCATCAAAATTAATTGATAATTGCTTTTCGTATGTTATAGTACAATTGTTACAAAAGTTTGAGCGCATCATAATGCAAGCAACAATGTTGTAAAGTCAATCTATTTCGTACTAGAAGTTCCTTTTTATATTGCATATTTTCTGAAAAAATTAACATTCTCGAATCATTTCTAGAAATATTCTATTAGAGACACTTTTGGGGACAAAATCTGTTGAAAAATTATTTATCTACAGACAATTCAAATAATTGACTTTATATAAATAGGTATATAAAAACTAAAATCTTTATTAACCGCATAAGGCTATGCAATCTTACCAAAATAATGAATTAAATGTCTTTATTAATAATAAAATAATTTCTGTTTAATGTTTATTTGAAGAGCGCATGTTATTCTAACTAATCATCAATATGAAAAGCAACAAAAAAAAAAATAAATCTTTTGACCACAGAAAAAGTGTACGTTCAGTCTGTTCAATAATAGAATCAATCATTTCCGTAAATTTTTGTACTTCATGTGCTTCAACAATTACCTTGTTTACAAAAAAAAAAGATATCTTATAAGATTTGAAAAACGTATTACAGCTTCATGATGACCATACTTATATAGAAGATATTGCCATGCTAAATCTACATACATATCTTGAATACGTAAAGTTTCTTTGATATTTATTAAATTAATCTGTGCGTTTTCTCTGTACATAGTATAGTTGATTGTTGAGAATGCAAGAATTGAAAGTATTAATTTAATAAATGTATTATCTGGATCAAGTTGATCAATAACACGTTTGATGAAGATTGCTGCAGATGGTTTAAATATCATTTCAACAGATTCATAAAAAGGTGGGTAATCAAATAATTTATACTGACGTAATGTAAACATACCACCAATATCTGTTGTAAATTCTACTGCAGTTCGAAGTAATGTTGTACGATCATGATGAAATAATGAAAGAATATCACGATTTTTTTTCGAATGTAATTTGAACTTTACTCATCATTGATGTAAAAAATGATTAACTGGTGAATATTTGAATCGTAATTTGATAGGTAATCGATTTTGTTCTTCCAGACAATGTTTAACATATTCATATCCAATATTTTCATCAAAACAATAAACTAAATTTGATAAAAAATTCCATTGATTAATGCTCAAGGTTGATTGATCAGATTCTAAAAGACTTAATCTAGGAATCTAAAAAAAAGATAAGAAAACATATTTTTCAATAGACAATGTCTTAAAAATTCACAAAATATGACAAAAGATCTTGTAAACCGCTGTAAAACCTCAGAATATATCTTCTAATCATATTAACTCATCAAGGTGTGGAAGCACATAAACGTGTTCAGGTTTTAGTTCAACTGATAACTAAATTGTAACAACTTCTCATAATGCTTCAATTGTCTTTGTTTATTTTATATATCAAAATGGCAGCATCAAAAATATCAACAACAAAGAAACCAACGGCAACTTTTCTAATCCTGAATCTTGAAGTGAATAAACTATAGAACTATGAGATAGATCCGAAACTAAAAAATATGATGATTGTCTTATCAAGCGTTCCATGAAAGTTTCACATGATGTAAGTGCTATTTCAAACTGAAAGTAGAGCCTTGACAGTAGTGTGAGCAAGTATATTGTTTTAGACTTTCGACAAACTTCATTTTTTCGAAAGAGAATTCCATTCTCAACAGGTTAAATGTTTATATAACAAATATCCATTTAGAATTAATATGTAGAATTCGAGACACAGTAATGAACAAAAACCATAGATTTTATCTAAATTTATTTAATTTGACATCGAGTTAACGTTTTTCAATTATTTAGTTAAGTTGATCGATTGAAAAGAACTAATTATCATTCTATCAAAAACACTTCAATGTAATCATGTTTATAGTCTATGAGATTATTCGTATGCTTAGTCAGATCAAGATCCATGTTTAAGACTGGTCTAACAGACCATATTATAAAACTAACATCCAATGATTACTTGATTATAAAAAGATTATTATTAAGATTATCTGAAAAATGTGGAGGATGTGTTAGTACCAGAATTTTGAGTGTCTATGAACCTTAAACTAAAGTGTTTCGTTGTAATTAGAAGTACGACTAAAAACCGAGTCCAGATCTGAAATCTGTTGAATAAATTGTGTTTGGATTTAGATTCTAAAATGTTGTCTTCAACGGACACTAATTAAATCTCACTTTGGAAAGTTTTAGTCATTTAAGTTAATTTAGTTTTCACTCGTCAATGAGAACACCTCTTTTTACAGTACATTTTATTTTGTCTCGATTCATTCAATTGTCAGACTATGAAATTATTTCAATTCAAGAACTTTTATTATAAACTTAGATAAATTAGTTCTTTTCACAATTCTTATTTTAGTAACACTTATATTGAGATAATCAATGTTTCTTTCTTTCTATTATAAAGGTAAAGTCATTAACTTTTATGAAACTAAATGATTTTACGTTATCTTTTATTCTTGTGACAAGTCTTATGATAATGATAATCCTTAAATAAGTAGAACAATATAAAATATAAAAATACTCACATGTTCAGACTTATGTTTCTTGTTTATAATCAATGATGTTGTTGATGTTGATTGATTTGAATCAACAATCAATTTTCTTTTTTCATTTTTATGATTTTCTTCACATCGAGATGATCGAATCATTTCAATACACATTCCAATTTTCAAACATTTTTCAAGTCGACATGAAGCACATGTATGACGAGTATTTATGTTAATATCACAATCATTATTAAAGTGACATTTCAATGTTACCTAAATAAATCAATTTAAATGAGAAAGAGAATATTTTTTGATTTCAACTGACTTGTCTATCTTGTGCATTTCGTTTAAAAAACATTTTGCATGAATGACATACAATAACTCCATAATATGAATATCGAGCAGGAGATCCACAAATTTTACATTCGGATGGACTTGGATTTTTCTGTCGCTTGACATTGGTACAAAGTATTTGTGATGTAGCTGAATCTTCAGTAGGTGTTCTTTCCAATTATCAAATCACAAAATATTTTGTGTGCAATCGTTAGAAAATGCACTAATTGGTTAGAAGAAGAAAGGAAAGTAGACGAGAAAGACCTGATGGCTTGAGTGCATAACTGCATTGTGAAACTACGAAGAAAATGAAACACAGAACGGAAAAAAAGATTTTTCGACTCTTTGGAAAAGATTGTATACCAACCAATGATCCTTGGTTGTGAATGGAGAGAACAAATTTATGCGTTCTGAAGAGAGAGATATGCCCCAAGTTGACCTCGGTGAGTTGTTCTTCTATATACATCAAGATTAGATCAAATGTTTAAGATTTTTTTTTTCACTGATAAATATATATTGTATTTTTGTATTGCAGCGATGATCATAATTTGCTGAATACTGAATTTTATAACCTTGTCTCATGCTATTTAAATATATATGTATGTGCACGTATGATGACCTATTCACATGAAAATATGAAAGAAAACTGCTTTTTTTTTTAGTGATATAGATTATATAATTGATTCACTTTCCAATTATTATGCAACAGAGCAACAAGTTCCTTTCAGAGCACAATTTTTTATGCTGGACAGACTTATTTCGAATCACCTCACACTGATATACTTGTTATACACATTAATAGTAAAGTCGAAATATCTAAGAATATCTAGAGGATAGCTTCGACATCTTGTTAGGATACGATGAAGTATAGAGCTTTCGCAATTTTCTCCTTTCTTCGATTCATCTTTCAACTGGTGCAGCTATAAATAGTTTTTCACTCGAACATAGCAATATTCCTCAATAACTCTGTCGAGCAATCAAATCATGTTGATAGCAATTTTTTCCCAATAATGTTTGACAGAAGATGAAAGAAAAAAATGTTCAACAGAGCCAAGATATGAAATAGTTGAGTCGACTATGCTTTTTCAGCTGTTATTCTTGGTGAATAGAAATTTGGAATTCTCTAGATTTTTATTATGAAAAACTATCTTGACTTCCTACTTATGAAAGAGAATAGCTAGTTCCTCTAAAGAATCGAAGTACTTCAGATTTGGTTAATCGCATAGGACTATTCAACGTTTCAAAATAATAAATGTAACAGATTTATCAATATCTAAATCATTTCAACTTAATCTTTATTTAAAAAGTACATCTGGTTTGGCCTGGGCATAAATAGAAACACAATAAAGAACAAAAAAATAGTTTTGACTACGACAAGAATGTTTGTTCAGTCTGTTCAATAATAGAATCAATAATTTCTGCAAACTTTTGTGATTCATGTGCTTCAATGATGGCGTCAATGGCAGCAAAAAGACATTTTACAAGATTTGATAAACGTATTGCAGCTTGATGATGACCATATTTATATAAAAGATATCGCCATGTTAAATCTATATACATATCTTGAATAGGTAAAATTGCTTTGATATTTGTTAAATTAATCTGAATGTTTTCTTTGTACATAGTATAGTTGATTGTTGAGAATGCAAGAATTGAAAGTATTAATTTAATAAATGTATTATCTGGATCAAGTTGATCAATAACACGTTTGATGAAAATTGCTGCAGTTGGATGAAATATTATTTCAGCAGATTCATAAAAAGGTGGATAATCAAATAATTTATACTGACGTAATGTGAACATACCACCAATACTTGTTGTAAATTCTGCTGTAGTTCGAAGTAATGTTGTACGATCATGACGAGATAATGATAGAAAATCACGATTTTTCTCGAAGACAAGTTGTATATTACCCATCATTGATTTGAAAAGATCATAAACTGATGAATATTTGAATCGTAATTTGAGAGGTAATCGATTTTGTTCTTCAATAAAATTTTCAACAAATGCATATCCACTATTTTCATCGAAACAATAAACTAAATTTGATAAAAGATTCCATTGATTCAGAGTTAATGTTGATTGATCAGATTCTAAGATATTTAATGTTTCAATCTAAACAAAATCGATAAGAGAAGATTATTTATATAATAGATAATGTTTTAAAAAATTCATAATATCTAAGAAAAGATCTTAAAAATATTTAGAAGATCTCAGAATTTATCTTCTGTATATACAAAGTGTTTATACAAATAATATATATGTGAAATTATTGTTTAGAGTTGGAGACATACCAATAAACAATAACCATAGGTTTTTTCGTATATTTATTTAATTCGATAGCGAGTTGACATTTTTCAATTATTTACATGAATAAATCGCTTTAAAAGAACTAATTATCATAATGGATATATTTCAGTGGAATCGCATCTTGAATTCCTCAGATTGATCGAGTCAAGACCCAGGTCCAGCACTAACCCAATGGGACACACTCTAAAAGTAGCAATCAATTGTGACTCGAATGTTATGAGGTTATCATTCAAATTGGTTGAAATATATGTAGGATGTGTTAATAACAGAATTTAGAATGCTTACGAGACTTAGACTAAAACATATCATAAAATACTTGCATTATTCACTCAGATGAAGTAGTTCTTTTTACAATTTTTATTTTAGTAATAATTATATTAAGACAATCAAAGTTACTTTTTCTGCTGCATTGTGAAGATAAAGTCGTTAATTTTAATTAAATAAAATAGTTCTGAAATATCTTTTATTCTTGTATCAAATCTTATAATGATTATAATATTTCGAGAAGTAAAATAATATTAAAAAAAAAGATACTCACATGTTCAGGATTTTGTTTATCATTTGTTGTTACTAACATTGTTGGTATTGGATCAGTAGTCAATTTTGTTTTTTCATTTTTATCACTTTTTTCAGGTCGATGTGATCGAATCAATTCAATACACATTCCATTAATGAAACATTTTGCAAGTCGACATGAAGCACATGTATGACGAGTATTTATGTTAATATCACAATCATTATTAAAGTGACATTTCAATGTTGCCTAAATAAATCAATTTAAATGAGAAAGAGAATATTTTTTGATTTCAACTGACTTGTCTATCTTGTGCATTTCGTTTAAAAAACATTTTGCATGAATGACATACAATAGCTCCATAATATGAATATCGAGCAGAAGCCCCACAAACTTTACATTTTGATGCAACTGGATTTTTCTGTCGTTCGACATTGGTAGAAGGTGTTTGTGGTGTAGTTGGATCTTCAGTAGGTGTCCTCTCCATTATGAAATCACAAAATGTCTTGTGTTTATTCGTTAGAAAATGCGCCGATGAATTAGAGAAAAAAAGAAAGGAAGGTAAAAGAAAAAGCCCTTATAATATGAGTGCATAACTGAATTGTGACATTGCAATGAAAATGAAAAATAGAAAAAAAAAAAGGTTGTTCTCACTCGATCTAGGAAGTCTATGTTAATTGATGGTCGTTGGTTCTAAATCGAGATAACAAATGCATATTTTCTGAAAAGAGAGAGATATGCACTTAGTTGACCTTGGTCAATTGTAGTTCTACATATAAAAAGACTACATCAAATGTTTACGACTTTTTTTCTTGTGTTGTTATATATTTAATGTATTTGTCTAATGCAACAATAATCCTAATTTGTTGAGTGCTAAATTTTATGACCTTGATTCATTCTGGCCATATATGTATATGATGACTCATTAGAGTAAAATGTGTAAAAGAAAACCAATATTATCATAGTAACATATATTGTATAATTGATTCATTTTTTGATTATTATGCAACAAGTTTATCACAGCGTAAATTTTGTTCAATATTATAGTGTTATGATTAGTCAACGGTTTGGTGCATGTTGAATAGATGATTCTAGTGTCTATCTAAGGATATCAGAACCATATGTCTGAAGTGTTTCATTGTCCATACAGTCAGAAGTAGAAAATGAATGCGTTGCAATAATTTGTATTTTTCTTTCTTTTAAATGATTCTGTACAGGTAAAAAGGTTCAAAATTTGACATTTTAACGGTGATTAGGGGTGGCACTTTAACTTTACTTTAAAAGTTAAAGTTAAAGTGGCACTTTAAACTTTAAAGTTAAAGTAAAACACTTTAAACTTTAAACTTTAATTAAAGTGAATAATTTTACGACTTTAAACTTTAATTAAAGTTTAAAGTAAAATACTTCAAAACTTTAAACTTTAATTAAAGTAAAAATTTTAGCACTTTAACTTTAACTTTTTTTTAAAGTCCATGCGTTTGTGTCATGCCATACTGTAGGGGTACCCTTAGATCCTCAAGTCCTATCTTTGAAAAACATTTTTTTTTCGAAAAGTTTTTTTTTATTGCAGAAAACGACTTTTTGAGAAAAAATAAATTTTTTTGGGAACACCCAAGATTTTTGGGAAAAAAAATTTTTTCAAACAAAATTTTGGGTGTTCCCAAAAAAATTTATTTTTTCTCAAAAAGTCTATTTCTGTATAAAAAAAAATTTTTTTTCACAAAATTTTGGGTGTCCCAAAAAAATTTTTTTTCTCTCAAAAAGTCGTTTTCTGCAATAAAAAAAAAATTTTCGAAAAAAAAATTTTTTTCAAAAATAGGACTTGAGGACCTAGGGTATCCCTACAGTATGGAATGACACAGACACATGGACTTTAAAAAAAAAGTTAAAGTTAAAGTGCTAAAATTTTTACTTTAATTAAAGTTTAAAGTTTTAAAGTATTTTACTTTAAACTTTAATTAAAGTTTAAAGTTGTAAAATTTTTCACTTTAATTAAAGTTTAAAGTTTAAAGTGTTTCACTTTAATTAAAGTTTAAAGTTTAAAGTGTTTTTAAAGTTAAAGTGCCACCCCTAACGGTGATCCTTTTCCTACATTTCAACCTTATTATGACATCTCTTTGAAAAACATTTCTTCGCATTTTTCATATAAATACGTTAAGACATAAAATTTCGGTCATTTTTACTGAGTATATCTCGTTTATACCAAAACTGATGATGAATAAATACAAATCAGATAATTTGATATTAGAAGTATTATTAAGATACAATGTTTATTAAAAGGTAAATAACAGACTTCATGTAATATCGATGAATAGAAAAGCACGGATTGAAGAGTATAGAAAAGGCGTGTAATTTTATTTTCGTCTAAGGAACCAATTCTTTCCTAAATAGATGTCAATTATTTAGCAGTAGCTTTCGAATAAAATTTTTTTAATTATCATATAGCAAGAAAAATTTCTTCCAATAAAGAAGAGACTA